CTGTCATTATTTGGGGGGAAAAAATCCAAGCAAAGAAATAGCAGGTGCAAAGGCCCTGAGGCAGGAGGGAGCCTAACAAGTTCAAGAAAAAGAGAGTAGCTGGAGCAGAGCAGTAAGGGAAAGAATAGGACAGGAGCCAGGGAAGGATTGCCCACCGCCCCCCCCCCCCCGGGTTGGGTGAGGCCTTGCAGATCATCGAAAGAACCTGGACTTTGACTCTGAGTGACATGGGGGCCATTGGGGGTTTGAGACAGAGGCTGACATGAACCAACTTTTTTTGGTCAGTATCACACTGGTTCCTGAAGGTACAATAGACAGGTTGGTGGGGGACAAGGATAAATGGAAATAGGGGACCAAGAAGGGGACTATTGGAAGGATCTAAGTAGGAGAGAAGGGTAGTTTGTCCTGACTGGTATTGGTTTAAGTGATATTTATATTTTCCAACTTTTTATCATGAATATATTGACACACAGAGCCAAGCTGAACTGTATAGGGAATATCCATCTACCTGGGATTCTGGTTATATTTTGAAAGAACAGTCCATAGGATTTACTGAGCATGTGGGGCCTATGGGACATCTTGGGGAGGTTGCCACAGACATTTGGGTATTTCCATCTGGAGCCTCGACTGCAGCCCAGGTCTGTCCCTCACCCCAGACTCAGAAGCCTGCTTTTTTCTAAAAAGGATCATATGTTAGGGACACTCTCCTAGTCAGTTGGCACCTAATCTTATTGGGTCATAAATCCAACAAACTATGAACAGTCTGAACCCTCCTCGGAAAAATGCACAGAAAATTATTTGTAAACAGTTTCGGGGGAATCATGGATACTGACAATGGAAGACGCTAAATTTAGTCTACTTCACTCAATCAAAAAATGTTCAGGGTAGCAGAATCCTTGCGAGTAAACCAATTTCTTTTTTTTTTTAAGCTTATTTTTATTTTATTTATTGAGAGAGAGAGAGAGAGCATGGGAGGGGCAGAGAGAGAGGGAGATAGAATCCCAAGCAGGCTCTGCACTGTGAGCACAGAGCCCAATGGGGGACTCGAACTCACAAACCGTGAGATCATGACTTTAGCCGAAACGAAGTCGGACGCTTTACCGACTGAGCCACCCAGGCGCCCCGATGAGTAAACCAATTTCAAGTGAGCATACGAAGGCTGAGCCTCACCAGCTCATCCCCTTATTTTGTTCCCAGAGTCCCCATTTCTCCATCGCCTGTCCATGGTGGAAAATGTAGCAAAGAGGGGCAGTGTGAGTAAGGTGCTGGGTCACAAAATTTCCTGTCACCTGGAAGCTGCCGCCTAGAGTACTGGGAGGATCAGAGCCCCAAGGCTAGAGCCAAAGAGACTTAGAGCCGAGCGAGTCTTCGAGCCAGGGTCTGTCTCTGACTGATGTTCCCCCAGGAGTGGACCATGGGAATGGCACCCAGGCGGGTTGAAGCCTGGGCCCTGGCCAGCCTCAAAGCTTTGAGGTCAGGAAATCCGGAGGCAGGGGAGAGGGACACCGTTGCCACATTCCCCGGCCCCTTTGAGACCCCCGAGGCAGGAAGGCTGCCCGGCCCCACCGGCTTCCCTCCCAGGCTCCTTCCTGTGCCTCAGCGACTGAAAGCGCAAGGGAGAGAAGGAGGCCGGGCAGGTGTTGCAATCCACAGCTCCTGGGCCTGTCACAGACTGAGCCATTAACGACAGGGCTGGGGAGAGAAGCCGGCCTGCGGCTGTTTTCAGGAACTTGCCCTCAAAAGGAGAGCAGAGACGGTTCTCCAGGGCAGTCCTCCAGGCGGGTGCCCGCTGCAGGCTCCAGCGTGAGTAGGGGATCCCCAAGGAGGGCTGCATCTCTGGCTTGACGAGTCCCAGGTCCACTCTCCCCCGAGCTCTGCCAAATGCCCGTATGCAGGCCTGGGACCAGGGCTCCTGCCTTTCGGATTGGTCCCTGGGAACCAGGAGCCCTGGACACTGAGTGTCTTTGACCAGGGCTGCCTCCTCTTTGGGGGCAGGGGGTGTGCATCGGGGAAGTCATAAATAGCCGAATATTTCTTTGGGGACATCAAGTTGGGCTCGGGGAAGGACACAATCGCCATCCCTCTCCGCGTCCCTGTCTCGGACCCTGTGTCTCAGCCCATCCCTGTCTCCCCTGTTTCTGTCTTCCTCCCCAGCCCCTCCCTGGCCTGGGCTCCGGGTCTCTCTCTGTCTGACTCAGAGTCTTGCTGTGCCTTCCCCCATCTCTTACATTTTCCTCTTGAATCTTAAACTATTTGGGGGACCTCTTGCTTCTCAGCCCTGAGTGCTGGGGTCTCTGGGTCAGCGTCCTTATCTCCTGGGCTCTTTCTTTGTCAGAAAGAATCAGTCCCAGATTCCTTCCCCCCAGAAAGAATCTCCACGTAGGAGAGTAAACACAACAGGAGAGAGAGGGTGTGAGCTGGGCAAGGGAGAGCAGGGGAGAAGGCTGAGTGCAGGGAAAGGAGAGGAGAGCAGGAAGACGTGGGTGATAGCAGTGCCTCCAGGAGGCAGCGGGTTCGACTGGAACTGAGCGGGAGAACCGGGCAGATGGCTGGAGAGAAGGCGAGACTGGGGTCCCAAGGAGCCACAAGTAGGGAACCCAGAAATGGGGCTCTGAAGCCATGCCGTGTGACACGGATGAAAGCAAGGTGACGGTCCTGGGGGGCTGTGACCACACAGCCTATAAGCGGGAGAGGAGGCCAGGAGGGTTCTGGATTCCATGATGCAGTGCCTGCTTCATGGCACGTGAAAACAACCGACGGTCCCCGAGGGCTTCTTCTACGCAGGCTCTGCTCTGAGCGCGTTTATCACAGACCATCTCAGTGCATCCTCACTACAGCCCTGAGAACGGGGTGCTGATGTTCTCCCCCTTTCACAGATGGGGACGCTGAAGTTCAGAAAGGTGAAGTAACCTGTCCAAGGCCACAAAGCTGGTAAGTAGCGGAGTCGGGGCTGGAGGCTGGTCTAACTCAGAGCCGGACTCCCCACTTGTCTACATACCGGCCCCCAGAGAGTGAGACCACGCTCCAACAGGCCCCAGATCACTCTCAACACTCTCAACTGGGGTAAGGGTCACCCAGGGCCGCAGTGGGGGACCAGAGACTGATGTCAGACATGCCGACACTCAGCAGCAACCCAGGGGAAGGATGCCCGACCTCTCAGGGTGGGGTTTGGCTACCCATTCTGGACAGGAGTCAGAGGACAGGGATGAAGTGGTATCTCACTGGGCACAGGCTGGGCCTTATGCTGATCCTTGCTAGCGCAGCAGGGCTGGGGTATGATCAAAAGCACAAAGAAATGGAAACCAGTGTCCCAAAATCTGGGCCCAGGAGGCTAAAT